AATAATAGGTGCCGTATTATAACAAGGACCCAAAAAGGCACCATGATTTTGACAACCATCCATATGTTCAGAACCCCAACCCGATGTCTTAAAACCATGCGCACATTATAGCGATTAACCGCATATGCAGAAACCCAAGGCGCTCGGAATTCTGAGCAACGTAAGGGCCTTGACAATTAAAATCTGGTTTTAGGGTGCATGATACGCAAACTATAACAAGGATGGCAAGGGAACACTGTTCCTGTCCATTCGACCCTGCTGTTTCAGCCTTTGTTAGAGGGCCAAAGCCCTTCTATCAAGGGTTTCCCTACGCATGCTCCCTCGACTTTCGTGCTGCAAAGATTGTTGCATTCCACCTCCCGGTCCAAGGAGAAGTTGAGGCAGCACGCATTTTTCAAAACGAGGCAGCACGCACTTTTTTGACGAATGCTTCGTGATTTTGTGGTTTAGGGAAGTTTGGGCCTTATCTAAAGATACTGCATTCCACCTCAGCGTTTTGTGCGCTACAGAGGCAGCACGCAAAAATCTTTGGAGCACGCAGTGCGAGGCAGCATGCGTAGGGAAACCCTTGATTCTAACTTCTAATTCTATGCATCTCCCATGTCTAAGCATGACAACCCAGAACCCCTAAACCACTAACGCCCAAACCCTACACCCAAAGCAAACCTAAACTGGCAAACTCTTAGACTGTCTGCTGCCGACTAAGAGAACACAGCTTTGTGAGCCTGCCCTTCAAATACATTCCTGGTTGATAGCTGTAGAGCCCAGAGAGCTCGTTGAGGTCCACCTTAGGCTCCCGACCATACTCCTTATGAATTAGCCTTGTTGGGTCTGGGATAGTCCATACAATTCTGAGGTCCACCCTTTTTGGTATTATTGGGTTTAGGGTTGAAGGTTTGATTATACTCCCGAAGCCCTAAAACCCTAAACCCATAAACCCCTAAGCCCGATGGAAAGGGGATGTTTCTCAGGTGTGTACGCGGAGATTTGGATTTTATCAGATCAGCCCCCAAACCCGAAATCCTAAACCTCCTCCACATTTTTGTACTCACCCTCTAAACCCTATATCCCCAAACCCTAAAACCCTGCATCCCCAAACCCTCAACCTTTCTACACCTTAGACTCGAAGCCCTGGGCCCCAAAACCAAAACAAGTATCAACCCTGAACCCAAAACTTCGGAAACTGGGGCTTAGCATGGCTGTCTTGGAAAGTTGGGTTTAGGGCTTTAGGGGTTTAGGGTTTTAGGGGTTTAGGGGTTTAGGGGTTTAGGGTTTTAGGGGTTTAGGGTTTTTGGGTCCTCACTCACACTCTCACACACAACTTTCATAACATTGGATGACCTCGTGTAATCCCAAAATTCATGTGTGGGCACGGAAGCCCTCCCACGAAAACCCGACAAAGTCTGCACATACGTTGCTCCGGACTCTGAGATAACAAATTCCAGCAAACGAGCTCCTGCCCCCCCTTCTGAGTTATAGATTGAGGAACCGAAACCAAGGAATGCTGTTGGTCACTATTCGTAACCCTGTAGCATAGCTGGATGGATCGAATCGCACGCACCCTTAGAATCTACACCAACAAGGTCTTATGGTTGTCTTGAAACTTCCCTTTCTGGGACCCGCGGCAAAGAACACATCTGTGCGAGGGGCTGGGAAGACAACGCCAGCGATCACGGCCAGAGGGAAGAGAAACTTCAAGTTTGCAGGGTAACTGGGCGTATGTAGCCCTAAACCCCAAACCAACTACAGTAGAAGCCAGAAAGTTGGAACATCATTATCCCGATGCTCTTAATGTAAAGTATAACGGATCCTAGCACTAAAGCACTAATCACTAATCCTCCTAAAGCCATGTTCCAACTTTCTGGCTTCTACTGTATGTAGCCCTAAACCCCAAACCAACTAACCCTAAACCAGCGAGGTTCGGAGGCTCCTTCTGATTCGGCTTCGACTATCGTTTTCGTTTGAGGCGGCGGACAGTTCCGATTCGGGTTCAGGGCTTGCCTGGACCCCCAAAGTAGGTAGAAGAAGAATGAAGAAGAGCCTTTTGTAGGTTTTGGGCCATTATTTTACATACTTTGGGGGGTCTGGGTAGAGGTTTGGAGCTTGTGGTTGGTGTTTGTAGCTATTTTCCGAAACCCTAAACCCCCTAAACCCTAAACCCTTCGGTTTTTGGAGTCTCGGAGGTTCGGCGGTCGAGGTGCGGCGGTTCCGAAGTTCCGGTCCGGGTTCTTGTGGCTGCTAGTCGGTTGGGGTTTAGGGTTTTGGGCTTAGGGTTGTGGCTGCTAGTGCTTGAAGAAAACGGGAAAATCAGAAAGTGCATCGAAAAGGTTTACAGCTCGAAACTGGAAGTTCTAATACAGCACCTTTGCTGTCTGCACAACCCATACCAAGCCGAAACCTGAAGCCCAAGTCGACACCCAAAATGCCCCCCCCCCCCCCCCCAAACCTCAAAGCGTGAAGACCATATACCGTTTAGGGTTTAGGGATTTAGTGTTCGGGGTTACCTAGACCCCCCAACTACCCTCTAACATACCTTAAATTCCCACTATTAAAGACCATCAGGGCTCTATTAAAAGGGCAGCTAGGGGGTCCCTAAACCCTAAACCCTAAACCCCTAACCCCTAAACCCTAAACCCCTAAACCCTAAACCCCGAAACCCTAAATCCCAAAACCCTAAACCTTGCAAGCCGTGCTTCTCATACTCAATCTCCGTGTTCACCCAGGGAGAGTTGAGGTAGTGAGCGAAGCCCTGGGTTACCCTAAGGGTCCAAAGGACCCAATAATTAGGTACTCGGTTTTAGGACAGTAGTTACGTAGGTTCTGATTTTGGAGAGTATATGATTATTAGGTACTTCTCAACTAAAGAATATATCTCAATCATATTAGGGATCCTGCCATAGTTTAAGGTATCCCAGAGGGTCCATATACACTATCATTTTGGAACTAGGTCCAAAAATCCACCCCTATTATGGTTTTGGGGGCCTAATTCCATAATGGTAGTGTATATGGACCCTCTGGGCATGTTCTTTATAGCCTACTTGTCGGGTATCATGGAACTAAAGGTTAACCTTTCTGGGCATATAGGGATGATATAGGCACTATACTAACCAAAGAGGTTAAAGGCTCCCTACTCTACTACTGGGACAGTTTAAGGTATACTGTTGATGATATAAATCCTGCATTACCTTAAGGACCCTAAACTATGGGAATTATGGTATATTCCTTATTATGGGTAATGCAGGATTTATATCATCAACCGTATTTCTTAATTAAGGGATTTGTGAAGGTCTGGGGTCTCTGGCTCTACATTCTGGTCCTTTTTCAGGCGACTGTGGGGGTTTAAGGCCTGGCTTATTTAGGGCAGTTGAAAGTTTAGGGGTTCAAGGTCTAACGGTTTAGGGTATTTGAGGTTTAACTTCATACCTTGGCGGGACCCCTTAAGTTAATTTAACCAACCCGCCAAAGCCCAATACTACGCTCGGCGAGGAGCCAGCACGCATGTACCTGACGGAAGACTCCATATCCCTGAACCGCAGACCTTACATCATAAACCCTGACCGCTGAATCCGGTACCCTGCGATACATACGGTTTGGGGCCGGGGTTGGGGATACAGGTTTCGGGATGGGAGCAATAAGTCTCCTGGGACGCTTGAGCTAGCACAAACCCCAAACCTGCAAATCATCTCTCAACCCGACTATAGGGGCCAACATGCTTAGAACAGAGTTTGGGGTGGCATATCACCGTATCAAAATATCAAGGGACTCGTAGTTCGCTTCTTATTGTTGCTATTGCTATTTCTCACGGCACCCATATTAAACTCCAATCTGCGGGGAAGCCCTGACCGTTACATGCTGCACAATCAAATAAGGCCAAGTGATGTTGAACAGAGCTTGGGGTTTAGGGGTTGGGGTGTCCTGTGCTAAATAGTTGTGACAAGGAACCCTAAGGAATGGTATTGGGAAACATCCATGCATACTTAGAGAATCATGGGACTTAGTACGTAGGGTAATAAGTACCTCTGCTCGGGATCCTCAAGTACATATAACAAAAAGCTACTTCTTCTAACCCTACTTACTAAGCCACCCGATTCTCTAAAACCCAACAGAACCCTTATTGAATCCTTTATAAGAACCTTTAACGGAATCCCCACAGACCCATTATAGAAACCATTATAAGAACCCTTAAACTAATTCCGCGGAACCTCTAAAACCCCCACAGAACCCTTATAAGAACCCTATAAGAACCACTATAAGAACCCCTAGAGGAATTTCTCGGATCCTGTAACTGTTAGACCCCCAACCCGACCAGAAGCTCCAGCCACAATGACGTGCCTAGCCGGGTTTAGGGTTTAGGTGCTAGGTGCTAAGGTCAAGGGTTTAGGGTCTAAGGTTTATGCTTGCGGTCCGAGGTTTAGGGCCTAGGGTTTGGGGTTTCGGGACTAGGGTTTATGGTCTGGGGTCTAGAGTCTAGGGACTAGTGACTAGGGTTTAGGGTCTAAGGTTTAGGGTCTAGGGTTTGGGGTCTAGGGTCTAGGGTTTAGGGTCTAAGGTTTTCGGTCTAGGGTTTAGGGTTTAGGACCTATAGGGTCTAGGGTCTAAAAGAAAGGCATGGCTGTGCCTTAGAAACCCTCCATGCAATACTCTTGGAGCGCCTTATGGCCCGGTGTAGGGCATCCGTGTTCCCAGACCTTCCGAAACCCCTTAATCCAGGAACATACCTTAAATTATTGCATGATCCCTAATATGATTTAAGGTATATTCCTTAAGTAAGGGGTTTCGGAGTGTATGGGTTCTACCCTGGCTCTACCGGTCAAGGTGCTCAATAATAAGATACTGGGATGGGGTTTGGGGAAGCATTCATTGCAGGTTGGTGTTTCGGGGAGCATACGAACCTCAGCTACCTCCACCCAGCCAAGGACCTGCTCTAAACCCTTTTCCGCAAACCATGATGACAGACCCTAAAACTTTCACGGCTTACCCCTATTGGGCTATAGAACCGCTTAGCCCCAGGCTGGATGCGATTGCGCAGACGGCCCGAGAGCTCTGCCGAATTGGGTGAAGGAGCCCTCCCTGTGCAGGGCAGATTTTGGGAATGGTCGTATTAGGTATGAAAAGGTTGAAGGCTTTTTTGTAGGGGTCTGTTTTAGGGCCTAATAGCCGCTATTAGTCCGTATTGGCCACTATTAGGGACTAGTTATGTTATGCGCCTGTCCCAGCCACTCTTGTTTATTTCGGGGGGGGGGGGGGTTGGGTTGAACAGGTTTGTATCATGGCTTCCCACGGTTTGGGAAGGGCTTTGCGATAAATAATTTCATTGGGGTGTAGGGCCTAGGGGCATTCGTGGTGAAGGATTTAGGGGCTGAGTCAAACACTACGGTTGATGATCTAAATCCTGCATTGCCTTAGTGATCCTTGACTATGGGAGTTATGGTTTCGGATTCGTAGAGAAAGGACACGTCTTGAGCTTCCACTATCCCAGCACGAAATGCTCTGCGCAAAGCCGTCCTCAATGCTCCTGCCAGGAACGGGTCATCCCATGCTGACACAGTGGCTGAAAGGGACTTCTTCTGAGCTTCGTAGAGGCTGTGAGTCAAAGCCTGCCCACGGCGACGCAAGCCAAATTGCCGTAGGAAAACACCCGACATGCCGGGTATGCCCCAGGGGCCAACTCCTCTGGCTGCGTTGCTGAGAACACCGCGGTTGGGTCGCTCTAAGGCGCCTCCTTCGACCTCGTCCCGGTGCAATACGTCCTCATGACTTCACGGGCCTGGGGATTCCCGTCCAAGACCTGGTGCAACAGTGAGGCAAAGTATGCGCTCGCCGTTCGTTTCTTGACGCCCCTTGAAGCATTGAAGCCGGCGGACTTCGTCAAATCGACACCAAGGGAGGAAAGGTGGAGGATGTATATCGTCAATCGTACGGGCAGGCTGTAAGTAAGGTTACAATCAGGGCAGCCGACAACTAGAGCCTGGGATCAGAAGCATTCTATGGATCCAGATTGGCACTTCTTGACGGGCTCCCCGAAACTCTAAACCCTAAACCCCGAACCCTAAACCCTCCATAGACCCCCCAACTACCCTCTAACATACCTTAAATCCCCACTATTAAGGACAAGAAGGGCTCTACTAAAGGGCAGTTGGGGGGGATCCTGGTAAACCCTAAACTTAAACCCTAAACCCCTGAACCCTAAAACCTTAAAGGTTAAAGGTTACCCTTACTAAATCCTTGTAGTCCCCTATAGATCCCCTAAAAGGGACCCCTTATATAAACCCCCAAAACCCTAAACCCTAAACCTCCTTGGGTTTGGGCTTTAAGTGTACAGATCTCGTGGGCCCCAGAGACTCGAGCTGTGCTAAGGCGGCTTCCTGGTCAGGGGCTAATATTTCCTTAAAGGGATCTATAAGGGTTCCTTAAAGGGATCTATAAGGGTTCCTTAAAGGGATCTATAAGGGTTCTATAAAAGGTTTAGGGTTTAGAGTTTCCGAAAGTAGGGGGGTACCTCATTTTTGTGATCCGTATTACAACGATCCTACTATTCCGAAATTCAGGTACCTTATTTTGTCATCCTTATAAAAACGATCCTACTATTGAGGGCACTATATTAGGGTCCCTTATTTTCGGTAACTCCCATATAAGGGCCGTGCTCAATCAGAGAGCTTCTTCTGCTCTCAGTGGCACGGCGGCCCAGGTCACAGCATGGAGCAGCTATACACGTTCTGAGACGGACCGTATCAAAATCACAGTTGCAGCTATGATTACACTTTATAAAAGGAGGCGTTTATAAGTAAAGGACCCCAGATAAAAAAATGCAGGTAGTGATTCAAGCCCCTATCGTACAGGACTCCTCTCGAAACCCCTACAGATTGAGATCCGAAAAGTGCCAGAAGCTCAGAAAAAGGTTCGTTCAATCTTGAAACCTCATACATATTCATGCTACTGCCAGTGTTTAGACTTTTGGTACAGGATTTGTTCGAAGCTATTTTCGGAATTTCCCGATCCTACCAACATCATCCAGAGCTGCACGTCCCCTGACAAGGACAGAGCTCATTATTCTTCAAGAAGGATCGAAGATCCAACGAGTGTTTACAAAGCAGAAATACATTCGACTTGAAACAGAAGTAGTGAGCTCTCTGGTTTCTGTACGCAGGAGCATTGCAGTCCGGCTAAAAACTGTGCAGCCGAGCCGCTCGTCGTTGCGCCCCTGGGGCAGAGGCTTGCTAATGTAGGAACCTGATTAAGCAACCTTGGGCCTTTATTGGGGTTCCTTCTATGAATCCTAATATATTTTGGGGGTTATAGGCCCAGGGTTTCTTAATCAGGTTCCTACATTACCTCGTACAGTTCCTCCTACGGTGAGGTACACCAGGCAATAAACCTAGTTCATCGCCGGTTAGCCCTACTTGAATGAAGAGCTGCGGCTGCCGATTTCTGAGCCGCTGGCTGAAGAAGGCTGAAGTTCAAGTGCCCCGAGCTAACTTATGCTAAAATCCTTTAGCATTGCACTTGCGCTTCAAGTTGCTACCCTTAACCCTCTAAACCCTAAACCCCTAACCCTAAACCCCTAAATCACACTAAATCCTAAACCCTAAAGCCTAAGCCCTAAACCCCTAAACCATGAACCCTAAACCGTTGCTGATTCATTAGTCGCTTAGAAAAACGGCCTTTACATGCCTTTACAGTCTCGGGCATTCGACCTCTTTGGCAGTCGCCGAACCTCGCCTGCTTCAATGAACCCAAAAAGCCCGATACTGGGTTTAGGGTTATAGGGCTTTAGGGGTTTAGGGTGATACTGGGAAGATATGGAGTGCCCCTTGGGCGAAAGCAAATCCTCCAATCCTCCTCCATTGCTTAATAAAGGTATACGTAGGTGGTTCACCCCTTGCAAGCACATAATGCAAAAGCGTAGTGTAGGACAAAAACGTCCCCCTATTCTTCGATTGTTACGGGGCTGCAACTGCAAGGCGGGGTTGATCCAGCATATAAGGTAGCCTCTTACAAGCCCTGAACACAAGAATACCCATAATAGACCGAGCCGAAAGACCTTGAACCCTGCAAGCCCTGAACCCTGGGACCCTACCCCCACCCGTTTTCAGAAACCACATCTTCGCTTACGTGAAATCAGGCTAGAGGGGTTGCGACGGAGTGCGGAGCCAAGCGGCCGAAAATTAAGGGGCCCTGATAACTAGATCAGGGTTCCTATAATTTCTACATAAGCACTATCGAGAAATAGGGGGTCTTGGGGAATATTGTAGTGAGCTTGCATTGGCAATACGATCACTAACTATTCAGACCCATCTACTAGACCCTGGATTCTGCAGGGACTTGTGCCTTAGTTCTTGAAGGACAATGCTAGCAAGATCCCCTTTGTTATGCTTTACCCAGAGACTCCAATATCCCTTAATTAAGGAATGTTCCTTAAATCATATTAGGGATCCTACTATAATTTAAGGAATATTCCTTAATTAAGGGAGATTGGAGTCTCTGGGTAATGAGTGTTGCATGTAGGTCTATCTATCTGCATTCCTTATAGATTCAGGAATATTCAATGTTCGTCACGACTGCTACGCAACGGTCACCACTTCAATGTGTGGCAAGGCATATAAGCCCCAAGCACGTAAACCCGAATCCCGAAACACTGTAAGACATGCTTCACTGAGCTGACTGGGCCACCTGGGTGGCAGTGCCCTAAACCCTAAATCCTCAACCCTAGTCGACAACAAGCGATTGAAAGTTCAGGATTTCGCGTCGAATAAAAGCGGGCCGTGAAGCGTGCAGCTAGGTACCCTGTCACCGCCCAAAGCCTTGCTACTGTGGCAAGAAAGGTAGGCAAACAGGAAGCATCGTTCATGAACTGTCACCCTAAAGCCCCGAGAAATTGAAACCCCAGGCACTAGACCTTAAACACAAATGCAACACCCCAATAGACCCTACTCAACTCCTACTCACCATCTTAAGCCTGCAAGTGCAGGGCTCTATATACACCCCAACCTTTCAGTGGTGGAGCAACTCGTTCATAACCAACGCAAGCTTTACTCGACTCTGTCTTTAGAAGCCGACCCCCCAAGGTAAACAGGGAGTCGGGGTAATTCTCAAGGACCCCGAATGCTCCATAGTCCCGAAACCCTAAACAACATAATGAACCCTAGTTGAAGCTTCGGTACCAAGCGCTCGATCTCCAGGACGGGTCGCGCCACGCCGTTCCTGGTTGCAGACCCTAATATAGCGCCCTAAATAGTAGGATCCTTATAGTAAGGACCACAAAATAAGGTACCCCTAATTTCGGAAACTCCCATATGACGCCTTGGTCTTCAGCAGGCGCATGGCAGGTTGTCAAAACTCGGGTCCCTTGGGGTTCCCAAACTACAGGGGGCCGTCTTAAGAGTAGAATACTGGCTTAACCCTAAATCCTAAACCCCTTAACCCGGCTTAGGGTTTAGGGGGGTTTAGGGAGAATGGTTTTGACAGCTACTCACATTTCTTTAAAGCATCCCGAGGTTCGGGACCTGTGCCTCAGGGCGACGGCCCTGCTGTTAAGATGCGTTGGTTGGGTTGATGACTTTGCAGAAAGGGGATTTGACGGACTTAGTAAAAAGGGTTATAAGTATGGTAACTGTAGTTATATCCAAGTACTTATAACCCTCATTACTTGTCAGTCTCATGACCCCTCCAAGTAGGAGTCTCAAAAATAGGGAACCCTCATATAGTACCCTAAATAGTAGGAGCCTTATTTAAAGGGCCTCAAGATACGGTACCCCCAATTTTCGGAAACTCCCAAGTAGTGCAGAGGTCAGGTAGCATCAGCCTTTGCTTCCAAGCGGCCGATGACCCTGCGGCCTCTGTTCGGAGACCACGGGTTGTTGCGGCATAGAACTCACAACATATGCCATGGTGCGTATCAGACTAAGAAGAGAATGCAAGACAAGTCATAGCAGCTGAAGACACAGCATAATGTTCACATTGCCTCCACAATGGTCACTTAGGGGCTGAGTAGCCTGGCCCAAATGAGGCTAGCCTTGTCAAGTATGGCAGGAGTCTATACGCCCCAAGAGGTTATACCTACTCAGCTACTAAGGTCAACGAATCACTAGGTTTTCAATGCTGTGGAAACACAGAACACTCGCACTGCATCGAATCTTCTATCTCAGCAAGCTGCACTTGGAGTTGTTGCCGTCTCCCTTATCACAAATGCAGACCGCTAATGTGCAGTCTTGAGCCAACATCCGCAATCCGAAGCAGTCCGGAAGTTCAAAACAGCTCATGCAGATGTTGCAGTCCACTGAAATGGAGGTAGGGTTCAGGGTTTATAGGTAGTATGAAAAAGAAAACCTTTCCGCTATGATCACCATCGTCGCTACCCTGCTGACGTGGCTGATGTGCCCATTGGAGTGTGGAGGTCTTGGTCGCGGTCCACATTACAGTCGTTATCACTTTCGGTTCACGAGTCATGGTTCTAGTCTGTTCTGAGCCATCGGCCAAGCTGTTGTTGCTGTTCGACACTGTTGTTGTGGCCGGAACTGAAAAGAACCGTTGAAGTGGTTGTCGTTGTCGCAGTAATTACGAACATACATACTACATATAAATATGTATATATGTGTATATGTATATATATATATATATATATATAAGCACAACTGTATATAATACATGAACATAGACATGTGTGTATATATATATATATATATATATATATATATATATAGAGATACATGTACATATATACATCTTGGTTTTGCTTGTCCCAGTGCTTGTCATTGTAGTTGTGGGCATCATTGTCATCGAGGCTAAAAAGACGGCTAGGGGTGTCGCTATGCTTACGGTCTTTGGTGCTTGGTTCTTGTTACGCTGTTGTGATCCTTCCTTATAACAGATCACATCACCAATCTTGCTGTTGTTGCTGTTGTTGTTGTTGTTGTTGGTGGTGGTGTCGCTGTCGCTGTCGCTGTCGCTGTCGCTGTGGTCGCTGTCGTTGTGGTTGTTGTTGTAGTTTCTTGTGGTGGCCAACCACCAATAAACAGCGAAATTCCGTCGCTGTGGAGCACTAGCAGGACGATATACTTTCTGATTCTAGAGCCTCCCAGTGGCGTATGTAAACCAGTAACCCCCCAAACTTCTGTAAAACACCAGGCCGTCGCAAGCCTCGCCTTAGGAGAGCAGTAGCGCCAGCGCAAGCACTTGTTTTCGCCGTCATCGCTTCAGAGCGATCAATTGCAGCAGCACGTGTCGAACGGGATCGGACTAGATGAGTGGCTATCGTAGCTTTGGATTCGTTTCTAAACCCTAAACCCCTAAACCCTAAAACCTAAGCCCCCAAAACCCTAAAAGGCTTGATTTTTTGTAGGCTTGGGATATTGGAAGTCGCTTCGAGCGGGAACCCCAACACCAACTCGAATGTCGAACCAAATAAAGAGCGCGGAACCCCAAGAATGAGCATGTGGGTGGTTGTCAATATTAGGGGACCTTTTTGCGTCCTTATTACAATACGGCACCTAATGTTTGAGGTACCCGAAAAGGGACGCTAATTTTGACAACTACCCATGTGGCTTTGGGCTTTGAAAGATCCCAGGCATAGCTTTTCCTGAGAATGACCGACGGGTAGAGCCCAATACCCCTTAATTAAGGAATTTAGCTTAAATCATAATTAATATAAAGCCCTATATAATTCAAGCCATATTCCTTAATTAAGGGGTATTGGGCTTTCTGGGTGTAGCTGACATCTTGACAGGGACCCCGATCTGCTCCCTACTTGGAGGGCAGGGGGACTGAGCAAGTAGGTAGCAAGTAGGGTAATTTAAGTAATTAGGTGTTTTCAGCAGGATCCTAGTTGGGGTTCTAGGGCTATATAAGTAAGCTTCTTCAACAGGATCCTATTTAATTTGGGGTTTTGACTGATGAAGCGGTATAGACTCTATAAGCCACCTACTTACCATAAGTCCCCCGATCCTCCAAGTAGCGCCTACCGGTCAGCAAAAACTTCAGTCTTTCAGAATGTTCTAGGGGGAAGGTCCGGGGGGTGGGTTGGAGTTCGGATGGTCCCTAAACCCTGCACCGCAACCCAAAAGTGCAAGGTATGGGGCTCAAGATCAGCTGACGGAGCTTGTGGTTTAGGGTTCAGGGTTTGGTTTGTCTGGCCACGCTGTTGGATGCCCCATCCTGGCGACGACCCGGCTCAGTGGAAAGACCTCGCACAGCGTCACAAAAGGCAAGAGGCGCTCAGCTAACCCCAGGCCCAAACCAAAACCCCAAACCCAGAAGCCTAAACCTAAAGACACCCTAGCCAAAAACCCTAACCCGAGAAGCCCCTACACAATACCCCAAACCCAGAAGCCTAAACCCAACACACACCCATACCCAAATCAAAGGGAAACCCAGAAGCCTAACCTCTCAAGCCGGGCTGCAGCCCGGAATCTTTATCCTTGCTACGCTTTGGGGGATTCTCAAGGGGGAAAAAGGGGGACCCTTAATAAGGACCCCTAGGCATACCCTTAATATAGCTATTATATACCCATTAAAAAGCCCATTATAGGGTCGGGGTCCTCATTAAGGGGCCCTCCTTTTCCCCTTCTGAGATTCAGGATTCAGCCTAGCTTTAGGCCATAAGGTTTAGGTTTAGGGATTAGCCCTTAGGGGCTTTGGGTTTACATCTTTTTTTCTGGCAGAGCCGTGCAGGTTAGGGATTAGCGTTTGGGGTTTGGGCAACCCGAGCCGAGGCGTCCGGCTGATTTGAGTCAAAGCTGGTACCGAGCAAAGCCGAAATCAGGTCACCTGGGCGAAGAGGAAGGCGACGCTGCTCCACCATGCGTTCTTGCAGAGGCGAGCTTGAGGTCGCGGCGCTCTCAGAGTCTGAAGCGGGAGAAGTGCACCTCGGCAGCCCGGGAGAGGTTCTCGTGGTTGTCGATGGCATAGCCGGGGTAGCCGGGGGCGTGCCACTCACCGGCAACGGCTCCAGGGTTGAGGAAGGCTCTGCAGGCTCAGTTTCCAAAGCAGAAGAAGACATAATCGAGATGGCAGCGTCCGGGGATGTTCGAGATTCGCAGGAGCTGCTTTCTCGAGCTGGCTTGCAGACTGGGCGAGATTGACCCGTGGGCCGCCATGCCATGAAGCTCGCCGTTGTAGTGGCCACGGACTGATGCTGATGTTGATGGCTTGTTCACTTCATCTGGAACCATCGTTCGGCATATCATGGCTGGTATCTATGACGAAACTGGCAGACATGCATGGAAACCACTTTGTGAGCTTAAAACACTGAACCCGAGGCAACAAACCCTGAACGCTGAAGTGTGCTAGAAAAAGCTCTCCTTGACAATTGCGCACCGCGACCCCCAAACCCTCGAAAAACCATGAAACTCCAGATTCAGCAACAACAGAATACAGTGACCCAAACATGTGCATGCTAGGCTATACCATATGTACTGAAGAAGAGACATAGCTATGATGGCCACTGGCCACGTGAGGAGATGTCTACGAAGCATGGAAACCACAAACCCAAAAGCCGATTAGACCCTAACCACGAAACTCTAAACTCCGAGGGTTGAAACCCTCACGCTGATTCTCTGGGCCATTCCCAAATACGAACAGGTTCAACCACTGCCTGAGGTATTGTTTTCTTTGCACTCAACTTACACCCTCAACGCCTTAAATTTTGGCTTCCCTCCTGTTTCTGAGGATATTTATTACAGGCTTAACCCTAAACCGCAAGCCTGGAACCCTACTAAACCCCAAACCCTTCGAAACCCTGCTAAACCTCAAACCCTAAACCCTACTCAACCCTACTAATAAGGGAAGTAGAATAGCGTTTTGGGGCCCATTCTACGTAAGCCTACCAGGACCGCCCGAAGGTCTTTTGATAGAGCCCGTATATTTGGTCCCAAATAGTGAATATTTAGGGTGTATTACCCAGAGAGCCCTATACCCGTTAATCAAGGAATATAGCTTAAATCATAAGATGAAGCTCTGTATGATTTAAGCCATCTTCTTTAATTGAGGGGTATTGGGCTCTCCGGGTAGAGGGGAGCTCGGGGGTCTACAAGGTTGCGGTTTGAGTGTTGCCGCACTTCTAACACTAACTACTAAGTCCACAAAGCCCTCAATTTGAAAAAAGGCAGCCATAACTCTCAAACCGACCGTCAAGAATCCCAAGCCCCAAAACCGAAACCCTAAACCTAAATTTAACCTGACGACCGGGTAGAAATCCTTGTAAAGACCCCCCAAAATCCCAAAAGAACACCCAACGAGACTCTAAAGACCCTAGAAAGACCTGGAGAAAACATTACAGTAAACCCCCAAAAGGTTGGAAACCCTGTAGCCCCAATCCTTAAGAGCAACGTATTGGGAATCCCAGCACTATTTGGCCTTAATCCGGTTACCGACTTTCTAGGGTTTACTGTAAACCCCTAAAGCCTAACCACCAAACCACTAAACCCGAAACCCTACATACCCTGAACCCTCAACCCTGGGCCCTAACCACTAAACCCCTAAAATCCCTGAACCCTTTATACCCTCTGCTCCAAATTCTCAGAGGTCCATGTACCCAAAGCATATACTTTGGCCTTGAAGTACTGCCTACATAGGTACATTGCGCCCAAAGAACATACTATTCCGGTACATGGGCCCATTAGGGAAATTCTCAGAGGTCCTACCATTAGCCCCTGAACCCTACCTAAACCCTAAATTCTCAGAGGTCCCACTAAACCATTAAGCCTAACCTCTAAACCACTAAACCCCCTGAACCCGAAACCCAATGTATCCCAAGCATTCCTAAGCCCCATATACCCGAAGCCCTAAACCCTATATACCCGAACCCAGAGACTCCAATATCCCATTGGAGTCTCTGAGAAGCCCAAAACTCTCAGAGGTCCGGGCTTCAGCTTGTCCGTCTGCACCGGGGCCTCATCCTCGTGAAGGTGCGCCAAAGGATTCTCGGAGCCTCTGCGGCGCGCTGGGCCCTCGACTCCATAAAATATAGATTTAGGGTTTACGGGTTTGCTTAGGGGATATGGGGTTTAGGGTAGGGAGTTGTGTTTTTGTGCGTTGCATGTGTGTCGCATTTTGTCGTTGGGCGTGTGCTTTCGCTTGTAAGTTGTTGCTGTTATGCCGTGGTTTGGGCTGCACAGGCCTCGAGAAAGGATTTGAGCAGTATAGCTACATGTTTTTCAATACGGCAACACACGGTTTTCGTGTCATTCATGTCGCTTTAGCTGCGCCTGCATGTCTAGTTACGTCTTATACTACATACATGTCTCCGGTTGTAGCCTTCGGTCAGTGTTGCTGCTTACAGCTACCCTCAACCTCGCACCCCAAACCCTCAACCCATGACCCATAGCCTTCTTTGTGGCTTTGGGTGTTTTCCAGGCTCGGGTTCGGGCCGAGGCTTTTCATATCTTCGGGGCACATTCGACAGTACTGTAACTAGAATAAGGCCTAGTGGGGGATGTTTGCACCATTGCACCATTCCCCTAATCCCACCACCCAGACTGAACTACTTATATGAACTTTATAGAAGCCCCCGGTAGTACCCTAAACACCCCTAAGACCCCTGAGACCACCCCCGCACACCGAAGCCCTAGACTCTTCCAAAATCTTATAGAAATTAAACCCCAAACCGTAAACTGAAACCATAAAGCCAAAGCTCAAAACCCTACAACCCTAAAATCTTTGGAAGCTTTAAGACTTTCTGGCGTAAAGGCAGCTTTCAGGACGGGCCACATCTCGGACTGGAATGAAGAAACAGGAGTTTTTGGGTCCGGGTTGGGGGTTGGGAGTTTATTTAGTTTAGGGTTTCCGTTTAGGGTTGAGGGTTCCAGCGTAGGGTATGGGGATTTACGGTTTAAGTTTGGGGTTCAGGGTGTTTGAGTTTGAGGTAACGGGGTTTCGGGTTACGCCAGGATATCAGGATTCCTCACAATTGCTAACTGTTGCGGACGGGCGGCGGTAGTGGTGAGCATCGTTGTACGCGTCAATGGATTGGGTCTCCAAACGCGCGATCGTGTCAAATTCCTCTCGAAATTAATTTTAGTTGTCTGGTACCCTCAGGGGAACTAAAGGGGCTTAGAGTACACAGAAAACGGTTAACGGTTACCTAATTTGCTACTGGGCAAGAAGATGCCCATTCATCATTCGATTGAGCTTCATACATGCGCAAATCCCGACCTTTTAACTCCGCATGCCCGGTTCAGAAGGAAGATCTCTGGTAAACAAAGTAGGGATAGTGAATTCGACGTCTTTGGGAGCTGGTATATTATACACGTGTATATGTATATGTCTATGTATATCTGCATGTGTACGTGTATGTGTATGTATATGTATGTGTATGTGTATGTGTATGTGTAGATGTACGCGTACATGTACATGTACATGTATGTGTATAACCATATGTATATGTACATATATATATATATGTAAAAGTGATATATATATATATATATATATATATATATATGCATATGTATATGCATATGTATGTGTATATGTATGTCTTACGAAAACTTTGACCCCTATCGAGGAGCTCCTTGATGGTGGCAGCACGCAACCTCGTAAGAGCACGGAACACGGCGCGCTTGATCTCAGCCACCTGGGGGATGAGGCTTAATTAGGGCTTCACATATTGGCTTAGGCTTAGGGTTTAGAGTTTTCAACTCTAGGGGTAGTCGGTAGGGCACTCATTCAGGGTGTCGGCCTTGGATTGTTGTGAGACGAGCTGATCAAATAGTAGAGGTTGCTACGAGATCTATTTAGTGGCTTCAAGGCCTTCGGCGCTGAAGATGTGGAGCTTGGCTTCTGCTCTGGGGCCTCGAGTACGCTAGCCGGAAATGGATGACCTTTTCATTTATGGTAGGATTCTACAAGCCCCAACCGGTTAAAGGTTGCCTACTCAGCTACTAAGATATAGGCAGGCCGGCAAGCCTTTTTCGACCCTTATCAAGTCCTTGGTAAGGCCATTCAGGCCCCTACCCCCCCCTCCCCCCTTAGGGTCCCTATGATCCTGAATGCCAAACCCTACACCCCTCAACAAACCCTATGATCCTAAACCCGAAACCCTATTTTGGGCACAGATCGGTACCTCGGCAGTCTCCACAGCATCGACCAGGGTGTCCTGGCACGGTGGAATCTGGGAGTGCTGGGGTGCTAATGTTCAGGGTTTAGGGCTCGGCTTCACAAGACGAGTTGTTGAGTCTTGTATCGGTTTTCAAGAAATTATCGAATCTGAGGAGGGGCTTGCGGGAATTTATCTGTCCAGAGAGCCAAAATACCCCTTAATTAAGGAATATTGCTTTAATTATATAGGGCTTCATTTAAGCTATATTCCTTAATTAAGGGGTATTGGGCTCTCTGGGTGTTGTTTCCAGAGAAGGAGTCTGACTTAACTTACGGGGCTTCCAGCGCCCATAGACTGAACTCACATTTCCGTTAGGGTTCAATGGTCTGGGTCCCGGGTTCTGGCTTACATACTGCTGGGTAGAGGCTATGGCGTCATCCACAGAAAGAGTGATGCATTTCGTCCCCTGCAAAGAACCGGCGGTTTGAAGTATGAACTGAAAAAGAAATATAAGCATGCATTGGGGCCCAATGGGAAGAGAGATTTGGGGTAGTACAGCGCGTAATGAAAGGCACTTTAAGCCTTTCGGCAAGGGGATATTCCTCGAATTTGTTGAATTCTTCAGAACTGTTTTCTGTAAGAACTCAGCTCAAACATTCCCTCTGGCTTCGGATGGAAACTAAAGGATCTCCGTTGACTCCCGTAGGACGCGCCAAAGTATCCTTGATTCAGGCCCGACTGACAGCACATTGCAGTGGCTATCCAAAAAGTGGATTTGCCCCGACAGAAAGAAAGGCAAGGCATGCCCCATGGTACCTCCTCATAAGGACCTTTAGGGAGGTAGGGGGAAGGTGCTCGGGGGGCCTTTATGCCCATAACGAGGACCTTAGGAGGCCTATTTCAGAAAGTTTGGTCCCCCACCCCCTCCCCCCAACCCCCCTAACAGTCCCCATGCCCCTCCTTCAAGACCCTCAGAACAATCCCCAGCCTGGGACTTCGACGCGATGTCCTGGAGCTCACCAGCCGTGTTTTCCTGCAAAGCTTTACAAACCAGGCTAAAGGCTTCCCTGTGTCGGGTCGAGCGTCGCTTATGGTTGGCGGGCGATGACGATGGGTATTGTCTTCACATCTTCACTGCTGCATGAGGTTTACCGGTGCGATCGGTACCAAAAGAAGCTCATGCTGGCCTAGCAACCTTTGACATTGACTCGTGTGCATATGACCATAGCTGTTGGTGATTATTGCTGTCGCACTTGCCCTCTTCCACACTTTCTGTAGTTCTCGTTGGGGCCGCGACATTCAAGATGCCATACCCAACCTCAACTGGAAAACCCCAATACTGAGAATCCTGAGGCCGAAACTAGCTAGCCCGCAGACCTCATGTCCTGAGAACCGACAACACGAGCATAAACACTCGAAAATCGGTTTCATGCTCCAAACTCATATTTTCCTGATGATGATCCTAATCCTTATCACCATCATCGTCATCATCATCTCCATATATCTCCATCATCACCACCATCATCGTCATCAAAGTCGTCATCGTCAAGTGTACACTGTCATCCAATGGTGATCTCAGTGTCCTTATACCGAACAGTCCTTGCCAAATGGCGTGATCTTGTTGGTGCCAGCCTGCCGGTGTTTGGGGTGGGGGGAGGCTTAGATACCGAAGCCTGTTCTACCCGGAATCCTAAACCAAAAGTCCTTGGGACCCCAAAAAAGCACATAAGCAAAAATCAGGATAGGAATATCCCATATAAACCCCCTCAAAAGGAAGCCCAATAAGGCAGGGATATCCCGGTAAATGCTTATGCTTATGTGCTTTTTGGGTCATTAACTATTAAGTACAGCATGAATTCCAAGACCGCTAGTTTGGCCAGGCCAGCATGTGTCACACGGAGGAGGTTTTTTGGACGGGGCATGAATTCCAAGACCGCTAGTTCGGCCAGGCCAGCATGTGTCACACGGAGGAGGTTTTTTGGACGGGTGCCTACTCGTTTTTAGTCGCGGGTGAGCAGCATGAATTCCAAGACCGCTAGTTTGGCCAGGCCAGCATGTGTCACACGGAGGAGGTTTTTTGGACGGGGCATGAATTCCAAGACCGCTAGTTCGGCCAGGCCAGCATGTGTCACACGGAGGAGGTTTTTTGGACGGGTGCCTACTCGTTTTTAGTCGCGGGCGAGCAGCATGAATTCCAAGACCGCTAGTTTGGCCAGGCCAGCATGTGTCACACGGAGGAGGTGTTTTGGACGGGGCATGAATTCCAAGACCGCTAGTTCGGCCAGGCCAGCATGTGTCACACGGAGGAGGTTTTTTGGACGGGTGCCTACTCGTTTTTATCGCGGGCGAGCAGCATGAATTCCAAGACCGCTAGTTTGGCCAGGCCAGCATGTGTCACACGGAGGAGGTTTTTTGGACGGGGCATGAATTCCAAGACCGCTAGTTCGGCCAGGCCAGCATGTGTCACACGGAGGAGGTTTTTTGGACGGGTGCCTACTCGTTTTTAGTCGCGGGCGAGCAGCATGAATTCCAAGACCGCTAGTTTGGCCAGGCCAGCATGTGTCACACGGAGGAGGTTTTTTGGACGGGGCATGAATTCCAAGACCGCTAGTTCGGCCAGGCCAGCATGTGTCACACGGAGGAGGTTTTTTGGACGGGTGCCTACTCGTTTTTAGTCGCGGGTGAGCAGCATGAATTCCAAGACCGCTAGTTTGGCCAGGCCAGCATGTGTCACACGGAGGAGGTTTTTTGGACGGGGCATGAATTCCAAGACCGCTAGTTCGGCCAGGCCAGCATGTGTCACACGGAGGAGGTTTTTTGGACGGGTGCCTACTCGTTTTTAGTCGCGGGCGAGCAGCATGAATTCCAAGACCGCTAGTTTGGCCAGGCCAGCATGTGTCACACGGAGGAGGTTTTTTGGACGGGGCATGAATTCCAAGACCGCTAGTTCGGCCAGGCCAGCACGTGTCACACGGAGGAGGTTTTTTGGACGGGTGCCTACTCGTTTTTAGTCGCGGGTGAGCAGCATGAATTCCAAGACCGCTAGTTTGGCCAGGCCAGCATGTGTCACACGGAGGAGGTTTTTTGGACGGGGCATGAATTCCAAGACCGCTAGTTCGGCCAGGCCAGCATGTGTCACACGGAGGAGGTTTTTTGGACGGGTGCCTACTCGTTTTTAGTCGCGGGTGAGCAGCATGAATTCCAAGACCGCTAGTTTGGCCAGGCCAGCATGTGTCACACGGAGGAGGTTTTTTGGACGGGGCATGAATTCCAAGACCGCTAGTTCGGCCAGGCCAGCATGTGTCACACGGAGAGGTTTTTTGGACGGGTGCCTACTCGTTTTTAGTCGCGGGCGAGCAGCATGAATTCCAAGACCGCTAGTTTGGCCAGGCCAGCATGTGTCACACGGAGGAAAACTGTTTTGGACGGGGCATGAATTCCAAGACCGCTAGTTCGGCCAGGCCAGCACGTGTCACACGGAGGAGGTTTTTTGGACGGGTGCCTACTCGTTTTTAATCGCGGGTGAGCAGCATGAATTCCAAGACCGCTAGTTTGGCCAGGCCAGCATGTGTCACACGGAGGAGGTTTTTTGGACGAGGCATGAATTCCAAGACCGCTAGTTCGGCCAGGCCAGCATGTGTCACACGGAGGAGGTTTTTTGGACGGGTGCCTACTCGTTTTTAGTCGCGGGCGAGCAGCATGAATTCCAAGACCGCTAGTTTGGCCAGGCCAGCATGTGTCACACGGAGGAAAACTGTTTTGGACGGGGCATGAATTCCAAGACCGCTAGTTCGGCCAGGCCAGCACGTGTCACACGGAGGAGGTTTTTTGGACGGGTGCCTACTCGTTTTTAATCGCGGGTGAGCAGCATGAATTCCAAGACCGCTAGTTTGGCCAGGCCAGCATGTGTCACACGGAGGAGGTTTTTTGGACGGTGCATGAATTCCAAGACCGCTAGTTCGGCCAGGCCAGCATGTGTCACACGGAGGAGGTTTTTTGGACGGGTGCCTACTCGTTTTTAGTCGCGGGCGAGCATCAGCAGGATGAAAGTTTTGTCGCACTAAGATGTCTTTGCTTGGCGGAGGACTCGGAGTACGAAGAAGAGCATTTTACGTGGCCTGGCTAGCGGAGGAATTTCCATGCCAAAATGAACATACACTGTTTTTTGTTCCGACGGAGGAATTAGTGACGTCCTTGCCAAACATCGCGACTTCGTGAAGGAGTCTATGGGGGAAAGGGGTTTGCGAGTATGTGTTAGCAGACCTACCGGATGCGACGAACTTTCGTCCTGGCGCAGTATACCTGCAAAAACTCACCCAACACCTTCAATTAACCTGGACAAAAGGTCTGGCACCTTAGAAGTTCGGATTTACGCTAACTTGGACAAAAGGTCTTCCACCTTAGATAACTGAATTCACCCTATCTTCTCCGGTTTTATACCGTAAACCAGAATTGCCAAACCCCGCAGTAGTAGACCCCACACCGCAACCTCAGACCAACACCCCGATACCTGAACTTAAAGAAATGCAAGGAATGCATCGGCGCAGGGGTTTCGTAGTTTGGGGTTTGGTGTTCGGGGCTTGTGGTTTATGGCTATGGGTTTGGGATTTTCAGCGTAAGGTGGAGGTTTAAGGCTTCCGACTGTGGGTTCGGCATGCATTGTTACCCTGCGGACGGGGCAGTGCGCATTCCCGGACAACCTAACTCCAGAGGAACGTTCAAGGCGTCAACCCTGAACTATGAGCAGTGGCTTCAGGCATGCACCAGCAACCGTCAAAGCCCCAAACTCTAACCACCCAAGACCCTCAGCAGTGTAAGCCCCAAACCCCACAGAGCCCGAAGGCCGTTGCTCCTTCCGAGTAAACCTGTATACATCCCTTGCGGCACCCTTTTTCAAAGATGGGGTTTCTCTTAAAGCCGCATACAAGTCCCTTTCTTCTAAACCCATATACTACATACCTTATGAACCTCTATACAAACCGTGTGAAACCTCAAACCCAAAACGTTTCTATCGCAAGCCTCGTAGCACCTTTTGGAAACAGTAATGGATCCCTTGTAGAACCCAAACAACAACCCTTAAGCAATAAACCTAACATTAGCATCAAAACCCCAAACCTCAAGCTCCAAACCCTTAACACTGAGTCTCAAACTCTGAACTTAGACCGTGAAACATATACCCCAAAAAACCTTTGAACCCAGGCCTAGCGAACTCTTAACCCCCCCCCAATCTTATGACGCTAACCCTAAACCCTACACCCCCCACAGCATCCCTCAACCCTGAACTCTATTCACCCCAAACCTTAAGGCCCAGATCCTGTAAGCACGGAACCTTGGTCTCCAAGGGCGACCGCTTCTCCGGCCTCTGCGAGGAAGGCTCGGAGCTTTCGGTGGGGAACAAGGATGAAGCGAAAAGGAAGATTTAGTGTTTAGGGTGTAGGGTTTAGGAGTTAATCTTTTGGGTTTAAGGGAGAAGGAAGAAGATTTAGTGTTTAGGGTGTAGGTTATAGGAGTTAACCTTTTGGGTTTAAGGGAGAAGGAAGGCTTAGTGTTTATAGGGGTTTCGAGGTCAGGGGTTTAGGGCTTTACGGCCTTGGGTTGTAGATCTAATTGTTTACGAGCTTGGCGGGGAATCTGTCTGGGAAATAGCCACACTATCTCCGAAAAGTTCAAGCTAACACTAATACAGGGGCCTAAACAATTAGAACAACGTTTTGGGGTACACACACAGAGTGTGTGTGTGTGTATTTGTCTATTCATGTATCATTTACTAAAACACCTGGTTTTTATTCCGATGCCTACAAGACAGGCCCA